TTTTTTTAAGTCTGAAGGTTTTAAATGACAGAATGTGATTCGTGAATGTACATAATCAGGTTTATCAACATATCATGGATATGTACAAGGTGTGCTTCCTTTCATATTACCAAGGTCAACGATCAATGTATCGATAAATATCTCACGACGTGTTGCTTAAAACAAAAGAGAGAACTAGAGGAAAATGTACGCCATCGAGAATCTTGTCAAAAGAAATAATAAAAATAGTTAGCAGCAGTTTGCATTCTTATTACGCCACAAACAATTAAAAATTATGATCAATGATCATCGTTACCGTAGAAATGCATTTTGAGTATTTAAATTGACTAAAAGTAAATTAAAATTAATAGTCAGCTCGTTTGGAGCTATTTTGGAGTTGGTTTACATTTTTTTTTACGTTAAAGGTCAGCTTAAGGTTACAGTCTATGGCTGAATACACATCACTGTCTGCAATAAGATATAACAGATAAAAATGTATGCTTTCGCGTGATAAAATATCGGTAGCCTTATAAAATGACTAAAACAAAATTCGTGAAACCTGTCAAACTACGCCTAAAACATTTGTCTGCGGCGATAATAATAAAAAAAAAAAAAAACATTAGACACTGTTTCTGGTAGGACACTCAGTATATTGGCACCTACAAATGTCTACTCAGTTTTATTTAATTTTGGCTTTACAGCTAAGAAATGGCCTCGATTTACAGACTGTCCTTTATTCCTATTCTCTATTTTTCATTCATTGTTCCACTCTGTATCTGATTAAGATTAATGGTCCAATTTTCAAACAACCATAACTCCTACAATAGTGAATATATTTCATTGAAATTTTGGGAGGAAGTAGAGTTCATGGTTACCTACAAAAAAGTATTAATACAACATTTGCATTATGTTACTATAGTTTAAGATTAAACTATAAAAATTTAAATTTAAAATAACACAAATGTTGTAAAAATACATTCATCTAGACAACTGTTTTAAATTTGAATATAGGTCTATCTATTGCTATCCAAAATATTATGTCCACTAGTTTGAAAAATATTCTTCCGTCAGAAACGACTTTGTGATCAACGCCATTTTGTTTGTTCGCGTCTAATATATATACGTATAAAATTTCGTTTTAAAGCTTATTACATGTTTTAATTATAATAAAAAATCCATTTCAATCGAACGTATAGTATTTTTATACAAAATTCATAAAGACACTCTCTATTTTGTCGCTGTGAATGTGATCTCCTAACCTCTTAATTCGATTCGTAAAACTGCAAATATTTTGTGGTGTTAATTTTAATCAAGCCCACGCCAATAGATAACTTAATCAGTAACATTATCTGTTCCTATCAATATCGACTCCATTACGTTTTCTTTTATAATAGGTGATAATAATAGTTAGTCGATAATAATTCTGTTCTAGAACATAAATTCTAGATAACAGACTTTTGTGATACACTCGATGAAAGGCACAACGTGTTTTTGATGTGTTGTATGCTTTTACCATCGGTGATTCAAAACATTTATTACACACGAATTGCTCTTTTAGAATAAGGGATGAAATGAAAAGAAAAAGCAAGGAAAATTCTGAAGAAATAATATTGTATAAATAGTACATCCAATTAAATGACAAATTCGGCGCGAAACAATAAAGAATTCAAAGTCTGTAGAATATATTCTTGCAAACTATTTATAGAACACATCGAAGATACAAAAAAACTTGTTTAGTCTGAAAGAAGAAACTTGATAGTACTGTTGAACTTTTGTTTGGGTGATTAGCTACGCAGTCTTCAGTGCTAGCTTCGTCTTCTTTGAGTATGTGCTTTTGCCGTATCGACCTTATTACTACCAACGAGATAAATAACGTCCACTTTTAAACAATTTTTTACAGAATATTAACGAACTTTAACGAATTAGCCATGCTTTTAGATTTAATTTCACAGTATACCGCATGACACCAATATAATTGCAGAAATTCAGCTGAAATCTACTATTCTATGAAAGTGGATAGGATTTCAGGGGTATGTGTATTCACCAACAATTATTGTAATTGATCCCCGCAACCAAAAATAATTTTTTCAGAATGATTTGAAATTTTTTAATTTAATGTTTTAATCATTTTTTAATTGAAATTGATATTCTTGATTTTTGTCTTATTTTGGCCTCTAGAATCTCCCATTAAAATTTTTCCCAGGGGTGGCCGAACACCCTGTATACAGTTTCATAAAAAAAATTTTAGAAACCAAACAACTGTCGCATAAAAAAGTTCCGTGTTCACAACTTCGATAGTTATAAAAATAACTAAGTACACATGTGTTGCGAGATACGACGCAACGCTGATATTTTTCTTGTCTACAGTTGGTAACAAAAATATTCAAACACTAGACTATACATAGGTTTATTTCTTTATATCTTAATTTTGTAGGCATAAAATCAATTTATTCTTTTCCATGTGATAAGTTATTTATTAGAATTGTAAAATATATGAATTTCTTTTAACTATTTCATACACATTATATTTTAATTGACAATAACTAAAAAGATATGTCATTATTAAATTACAAAAATATTCGGACAGGTTTAAAAAAAACAGTGACTCGAACGATCTAGATAATAATATAAATCAACGTAATATTTTTAGAAACTATTTTTTCAAAAAATCAGGACTTGTACGTTCCAATTCTTCTCATAATTTTTTTTAGACTTATTTCTGGAATTTATAGGTACTATTCTAATTCTGCGATCTAATTTATCCTAAAAATTCTCTACCGGATTAATATTCGAAAACTGTAGAGGTGGTGGTATCACTGTTTTGCAATTATGTAACAAAAATTCTTAAAAGTTATTATCCTCATAAAATTTTAAACTGTTTTGAACGCCTATTTGGATAGCACTTGATATTAAATTATCCTTTAATATGTTTAAATATTTGTTTTTATCCATAATGACGTCAATGAAAACTAACCTGCCCACGCCATTACTCGAAATATAACCCCAAACGAGAAGGCTACCTTCATCATGTTTGAAAGTCGCTCGAAAATTTTTTACTTTCAACTCAGTGTTCGCTTTTTTCTAAACTAATTCAGACCATTACTCGTCCATCTGATTTAGATACATTATATTTACTTTCGTCTGCAAAAATGACGTCATTCCACCATTCTTGCTTCTTACAGACAAATTCCTTAGCGAATCGAATTCGTTCCTTCCTATTTATTTTGTCGATGAAGGACATCTTGCGGGCAACGCGTCGATTATAACCGTTTTCTTTTAACAATCGTCCGGATTGCTTGAGGATTTTTTTGCATTTCCTGAGACACCTCAGCAGCTAATTTTAGAACACTCAGGAAAGGTTCAACTTTTCACATAATTCTTCTTCTCTCTCTATCGTCGAGAACTTTTGTCCTCAATACGACCTTCTTACTGAATCTCTGTATAATGGTGGCGACTGTGCTCTTATTTAAATTCAATATTTTTCCGATCACACGGTACGACTTGCCTTTCTTGCCATAAAATATCACAAGTTTTCACAAGAATTCCAATGCTATTATGTACGCGCCATATTTGTAAACATAACGCGTTTTTCAGATTCATGAATACGAAGAACGAATAATCAGAAATGTACAAGTGTCCCAATATATTTTTGTGACATAAATAAATGACTTATCGCATGGAAAAAGAATAAATTGATTTTATGCGTAAACAATTAAGATATAAAGAAATAAGTTTATATCTAGTGTTCAAATATTTTCATTACTCACTGTGGTTTCCTAATGCAGCTTCGTTTCACCTGCACCATGCGTTCCAGGTACTGTTTACAAAAGATGAGACGTGTAATTGAGAAGAACACATTAGACGCCGGTTGCTTTCTGGCATAAGAGACGAAAGGGAGAGTCTACACAAGAAAGAGAAAGAGATAACGTGGAGCGAGTCAGCCATATGGCGTACGTGACCGACTGCACTACGTGTATTCTCACTCTCGTCTCGACTCGTTCATTTGGCACTCGAGCTCCCCGAAAGATCGTAATTTCGGGATCCTGACCTTCTCTGCCTACTACTGTCTCTCCTCCCTCCCACACCCATCTCACCGACGCCTACGAGATTAAACGCCGATGTTCTTTTACGCAGATACTGAACATTCAATGGTATCGTTCGTAAGAGTTTCGTGACAAATCAGAAAAATGTGGCAGGCCTGTATTCGAGTGACTAACTCGATTACGACAGACATTGCGGAAAACAATAGTTTGTTCCCCCGATAAACCATACAAATATTATTTACTTGTATTGTTCCGCGTCTCTTCGAGGAATTATATTGCATCTTGCATAATTCATTCTCCGTAGCACTATGCAGTTAATATTCTTGGAATATAATAATTATTTGAAAACAAATTTTTGAGAAATCGAAATCGAGTTAAAGCTTGCAACGAATGTATCTGTCCACACAATTGATATTTCTTCTTTTCAATCAGTATAACTCGAAGTGTACTCAATTACTGACTAATGTAATTTACAATTTGTTTGTTCGAAACCGACGATCTAATTTTATACCTGATATTCGATATCATGAGCTGTGTTTGTAAAAGCAGAACTGACTTGCCAAAGCATTATGAAAATTAATTAACGACTTTGCTCGGTTATGCGTCCGACAAATTAATATTTTACGCATAGCCGACGTAACACAATGCAAATCTACCGATTAAATTACAAATAAAAATTAGGTACAACGATAACTACAAATATAACTGAATTAATATTATATTGCATACTTGCAAAAGTAAAAAAATTTTGTTTAAAATCTACCATTCTATAGCAATTTTTGGTATACACAAATTTAGCAAAATATATAATAGTAAAATACCTAATTACTGTACACATAAGTATCATGTGTAGCAACAAACAGTGCAGACATAAACTTTGTCAAAGCCAGACTATTTAACATAGAACATAAATAAAGCACTACATAATACTAAAAATTTTTTTTTAGTATTTTTAAATGAAAATATTTTTCAGCTTACCTTTGTTCTTCCATTGATCATGTAATTCCCCATTTTCCCATTGTTACGCATTTTATTTGCCCTCATAATGATAGCATCGACTTGAGATATGAGCATTCCAATGTTTTGGCATTGTTTTTCTTTACCATCCAGCCACGTTATTTGATCACCACGAATTGTTTTTAAGTCACTTGCACCTGCTTTATTAGAAACCAACTGTCCATCTTTAAATAATCCAGCACTGTACATATTTAAAACTTCGTTTAACACTGCGAGACCTTTCTCTGTGCCTAGGAAATTGTCCACTACGCACACACCATATTCATCCATGTCCCTAATCACGTTTCTACAAATCTCATCTATCAACTCTTCAAGATTGTTTCTATTTTTATGAAGGAAAGGTGGTAAAAGTTCCTCCTCGCGTGCCAAACGAACTTCAGAGAAGTTCTTCATACCGTTATGATGGTGTGTTGGCATGTCTAATTCATTATCTTGAAGATTATCAAGAATTCGTGAACTCTCCAGAGCAGGATTCAATAATTCTGCCCTGGCTCCTAAGATTGTATCTTCGGAACTTCCTTCATACGTTATTGGAGAAGTCCAACCATCCACTCTGCTATGACGAGTACCTTTTGCTTTAGTGCTATTAGGTTTTCTCTTAAGGTTTTGGCTTTCTTTAACCTTTGATTGTCTTTTTATTTTTTCTGCTTGTTTGTTGGTTCCTATAAACAATGTAATCAAACATATAAATATTTAATCCAATAAAACAAGATATTATAGATGATTAAATACTTATTTTACAAAATAATAATAAACATAACTGAGCTATAAAAAAAAAATAAACATTTTGTCATTCTTTTTCAGATTGAGTATTTAAAACAATTTAACATAGTAAATGTTAAATTCTACTATTAAATTTAAAAGACTATTTTATCTCAAATTTAATACAGTATTTAAAATAATACCCAAATCCAAAGGTGTTTATCTCAAATAAATTAATCCAAATAAAACCGTATTTCTATTTTCACAACAACGCGAATAAAATAGTATTTTATTTCAAATACAATGAACTAGACAGATACTAAATAATTTGCTATTTAATATTTAAATATATTTTACATCGTTTCTGATCCTCCTTTTAGAGGAACGCAGTTATTCCGTGTTAAATAATCAATAATAAAGAAATTCAAAAGATTAATCTAGTTCGGACAAAACGTGAGGAAAATAAGATTGTATTTTTGGTACCTTTAAGATGCTTCACGTTATGATTCACTTTCGAAACGGTGTCCGATCCTTGCGTTGTTTCTGACACTGGCTTTTCGTTTAGGTTAGAAACTGCCGATGTATTTGAGAACTGATAATTTTCAAGGGAGGAATCCTTCTTGGTAGACTCCAGAATGGAATTTTTATTAACAGCCGAAACTGTATCTGATACAGTCGATCGTACAGAATGAATAGCACAAAATTGTTTATGACGTTTCCAATCCCACCTTTGGTGTTCTTTGGTGCAATAGAAAACGGCCTTGCACCGTGAACACCTTAACAGCTTGTCAGTCCTGTGACAAACTACGCAAACCACTGTTGCACCTATTTGAACATCACCGTCGGGTGTCTGTGCACGACTGACGATCGGTCCGGACATGTTTCGTCGCTTATTTCGCGGCCACGAGTGCCGACGACATTTCTCCAACGAGGGAAATCACACACGCACTCGATCTGCGTCGGTACTCGGTACTACCGCGCTATCGAGATGCCGCACAGCTGCACTGCTTATACGTACGCGAGCTTGGTTTACATACTACGTATACACGCATATATACATATCCATTTATATATATGTATTTATCAAATTTGCAAAACATCTATTGGCTCAACGGTGATCAAAACACCGATCTTCAATGTCCATTAGTTCCTACTACGTCTGCACGTAGTCTCCTATGCATACGGTCGTGCATTAACATTGGAAGCACTGAATCAAATTCTATCTTTGAAAATTAAGTGTTTACTATCGTACACGTTTACCTTCCTTAAAATAGCGCCACTTCATGGCAACTTTTCTTACCATCCAGATTTGATACATTCTACAGTTTACGAAAGCAACGTTTGATTATCTTTGCGCTAGGTCATGAAACGTTTCTTTATCACGTTATGCAATGTACCTGCACAGTTCGTAAAAATCTTTTGTTTAACGAATGCACATTATATATTAAATGCGAATAGAAAGGAAATATACTTGTAACATTAGTTTTATGCGAAACACAAACTGCAAATAAGAGACTACGAACAAAAGAAAAATCGATAACTGTTATTTTGTATAAATAAATGTAATATTTGATCGTGTAACGAGTATAACAAATAAATTGATTAAGTTTTTATCAATAATTATTTACTATTTGTACTTTTGCATTAAAATTTTATTTTCTATGCTACCTACCCGTGTTTTCTTTCTTTACAGAATAATGTGCATGTGTAAGCAATTGTTTCCATAGTTACAGCATGGATGTTTCATCAAAACATTTTGTGTTGTATATATTAGATAGTTAAGTAGTTAAAATTTTGTCTGAATACTTATTTATTGTGAATAAAGAGGTGTTATTACCAGAAACATGAGTACTTTCATACAAAACGTGCATATAAAAGATGGAGAATATACAAAGACAATTTATACAATGGTAGAATACATATTTATTGCTTGACCATTAAAATTTTTAAAAACGAAAATAGAAATATTTACTTGAATATTCTTATTTATAAGCGCCAATGTTCCAACAATGTATCCCATTTAAAATTAAATATGATAAATTTCAAACACAATTTTTTTTGTGTTACTTGATAAAACGAAAAGTATTTATTTTTCAGATTAAAGAACAAAGATATGCAGAAACAATAAAAGTTTTAATTACGCTTCTAGATTCCTACACTTCTGTATGTAACATTTTAGTAAAATAACATGTTTTTTATTTAATTTGATAAAAATAGTTTTAGTATGTTATATACATTCCATAAATTATTTTACAGTCCAGGCCTTGTTTATCTCTTCTTGCTCATTGTTATTTTTATACACAAGATTTTATAGCCTCTGCACAATGTTATGAGAAATTAGTTCAATTGTGTCCAGATGAAAATATATACAAATTATATCATGCTCAATCTTTACATCAAGCATGTATGTACCAAGAGGCTTGGACAATATGTTCCAATATTGTAAATCAAAGTAATTTGGAATTTAAAGTAAAAAAACTACAGGCAGCAATAAAGTATGGGCAAGAGGATATGGTGGCTGCAAAAAATCTTGTTGATCAATGTCAAACAGATGATGTTGACACAGAAATTAATTTAGGATGTCTTTTATATAAGGTATTAAAGTAGGACAAAAATTTGCTTAGAAAAGATTTATATATTCCTTTTATCTCTTTTCCTTTTAGGAAGAGCAGCATGAACAGGCTTTGAAAAGATTTTCAAATGCATTACAAATTGCTGGTTTTAAACCCCATTTATCATATAATGTAGCACTTTGTTATTTCAAATTGAAAGAGTTTGCTGCATCATTAAAACACATTGGTAACATTTACACTATTATTATGTCTAAAGTACTGAAAATTACATTTATTTAATATGGATTATATTATATATTATGTTAGCTGACATTATTGAACAAGGGATAAAAGAACACCCAGAATTAGGAGTAGGAATGACTACAGAAGGTATAGAAGTACGCAGTGTTGGAAATACATTAACACTTCACGAGACAGCTTTAACAGAGGCATTCAACTTGAAAGCAGCAATTGAATATCAATTACAAAATTGTAATTATGTGTAGAAAATTCTAATTATTTATTGCGTCTAATATTTTTTATGATTCTTATTTGGTGTTTTTAGACGAAGCAGCTAAAGAAGCATTAACAGATATGCCTCCTAGATCCGAAGAAGAACTCGATGCAGTTACTTTGCACAATCAAGCCTTAATAAATATGGACACAAAACCAAGCGAAGGATTTGAAAAACTTCAATTTTTATTGCAACAAAATCCATTTCCGCCTGAAACATTTGCTAATTTATTGCTATTATATTGTAAATATCAATATTATGACTTAGCTGCTGATGTTCTAGCTGAAAATGTGCACTTAACTTATAAGTATTTAACACCGGTAAGTATGGTTTTTATTATTACAATATTACATGTACTGTAAATGCACCTGTCACGCATCATCTACTAGAAATAGTACTTGTGATTTAAGGAATTATAAAAGTAATATAAGAAATAGCTTTGAATTCTGTCAAAATTGTACTATTTTTCATCGATCAGGATATTTACTTTTTGAATGTTTACATTTTTTTGTACGTTTCTCTAAACTTTCTGAACGCCTTCGTTTATGAGTTTTTACATCATGACTAGAAGTACTTTCATTAGAACTTTCTTCGTTAGAAGAACTATCATATTTCTTCTTTTTCTTTTTTTGATCTTTGGAATGTTTTTTCTTCTTTTTCTTAACTACTTCCTTTTCATCAGAATCAATATCATCTGTATCTTGCTTGTGTTTTTTAGCTTTCTGTTTTTTCTTTGCCTTCTTCTGCTTACGTTTCTTTTCCTTCTCGCTTGTTTCAACTTGTGGAGTTTGCGGGACTTGTGGGACTTGTGGCTGAACAACCTCCTCTTCAACCTCTGGGATCAATTCATATTTTTTCCCATCGGGGGACATAAAGCAATCATTGGATAAATGACCAGCCGTTCCACATTTTGTGCATGTAGTATTAAGAACTGCTTCTAGATGTATAACTTTACGTTCGTATTTTCCTATAGTTTTTTTCTTTTGCATATCTCTTTGTAAATCTACACCATTAGGATCCAAGTCTGTACCGTTCCCTTGATTTACATATTTCATAGATAATCCTATTTTACCATCATCTCCTACAGAAATAACTTTGCACCACACTCGTTCCCCTCTTTGCAAAATCTCTGCAACATTGTCAACATGAGCGGAGCTTACCTAAAAAGATTTTATAAATATAAATTTTTTAAATTCCACAATATAAATAAGTGGTTTAACCTATTTTTTTTTACAAATATGTTGTCTCGCTACCTGTGATTTATGAATTAATCCCTGTGCCGAACAGCCGGGAATTCTAACGAAAGCTCCATAATTTTGTATAGACGCAATTTCACCAAGAAATATTTGATTTATCTTACAGTTTACCATTTTTATAAATGGTAAATATTTTAAACAAAAATACTTTTGTTCACAAGTTATACGATTGTCGTATTCGTATTAAAACAGTAATAATAAAACCGTGACAAGAAAGCTTAACGCGAAGGTTAAGTTGACCAACAACATTTAAGTACAGGACTGTAACAATCGCAAGCTAATGGGGGGGGTTCAAAAGAAAGAACTTTCATAAAGAATTTTATAAAATGCATCGAAATTAAAAATTAAGTATTAATATTAACGTTACTTAATTTTTAGTATTTATATGATTTTTTGGATGCATTAATTACGCAACAAACTTCGCCCGAAGAAGCATATCGCAAATTTGACGATCTTGGTAATAAACACATGGAGGTATTGAGAAAAGCGACAAAACGGGTTCAAGAAGCAAGATTAAATCACGACGATAATGCTGTTAAAAAAGCAGTAAATGATTATGAAGAAGCTTTGGAGAAATATGTGCCCGTTTTAATGGCGCAAGCTAAAATCTATTGGGAACTTGGAAATTATACGCAGGTCGAAAAAATTTTTAGAAAAAGTGTAGAATTTTGCAACGAACATGATGTATGGAAATTAAACGTCGCTCATACCCTATTTATGCAAGAAAACAAATTTAAAGAGGCAACGGGGTTCTACGAACCAATTGTCAGAAAAAAATATGACAATGTCAGTTGCTACTTTATTTTTTGTATTTTCATTGTAATTTGTAAATTATTGATTACACAGTTTTAACGAAATTTCAGATTTTGGATGTAAGCGCTATAGTTCTTGCTAATTTATGTGTAAGTTATATTATGACGACGCAAAATGCAGAAGCTGAAGGATTAATAAAGAAAATAGAGAAGGAAGAACAAGCGGTGTCGCGAGAGGATCAAGATAAAAAATTGTTTCATTTGTGCATTGTAAATTTAGTAATTGGTACATTGTACTGTTCTAAGGGGAATTACGAGTTTGGAATATCTAGAGTAATGAAAAGTCTTGAACCTTATAATAAAAAGTTAGGAACAGATACTTGGTTTTATGCGAAGAGATGTTTTCTGTCTCTTTTGGAACAACTGGCCAAACAATTGGTAGTTTTAAAAGATACTACGTTGCAAGAATGTATACAATTTTTAGAACACTGTGAAGGTATGGATGTTTTTGTCATATCACGTTATGTTTCTGTTATAGGCAGTGTTTTTTATTATTTTCATTTTTAGTTTACGGAAGGGACGTGAGAACGGTAGTAGAACAACCCATCGACATGCAAGATATGCTTTCCATTACTCCACAGGGTAAACAAACGGTCGTCTATGAAGCGCGTTACTTGAAAGCTTTATTTTTAAAACTACAAATGTCTTAAATTATAATACATATGTACGGTGTATATAAAATTATTTCATGAAATATATATTACAAACGTGTAATTTAAAATACTAAAAAAAGAAATGGTATTTATTTCGAATCATGGTTGCATCATCGATTTCGATGATATCGCAATATGTTACCGCCGCTCGACTTTATTTTCTGAGATATTCATAAAAGCTATACATACAGTTCCCATTATGCTTCGTCCTATTATTAAATGTTTTAAAGATTAGTCACCCTATATGACTACGGACCTGATAACTTGTGCGAACATTGATACTTAAATGAAAAATGGTGGTTGACATGGAGTTACAGGAAGCTAAGGATTACGTCCTTCAGCTTATGAAAGAGAAAGAGAAAATTGAATCGGAGTTGAAAACATTAAAGGAAATCTTAGATTCCGTATGTATATCGAAATACTTTATAAATTCGTAATGAACATTTGTCTAACCTTGTTATTGAAAATGAATACAAATATAGCATGATCTGTCTAATTTTTGAATATATTATGATGTGTTGATATCAATTACAGAATCATGTTGGAATGGATGATAGTTTGGTCGACTCTGAAGGATATCCACGACAGGATATCGACGTTTATCAAGTCAGACACGCAAGGCACAAAATAATATGTACGTTTTTTTATTGTATTAATTTTTTTTTAAGAATTTTAATAACTTGATCTCGTTAAACGATTAGGTCTTAAAAATGATCACACTGCACTAATGAACAAAATAGAGGAGGGTTTGCACAAAGTGCATGCATTGGCTGGAAATCAAGCAGAAAGTTCGACTGTAGCTGCAACAAGCGATATTCAAGATACTATACAATTGGAGCCTTTTCTGAGGGTAAATTTGGTAACACCAGGTTCACCAGCTGAATTAGCAGTAAGATATCAAATTTTATAATGCTGAGAAAATTGCAAATGATTATACATTGAGGACACCAAATTTTACAGGGGATTCAGGTTAATGACCTTATATTGAAATTTGGCTGCATCGATTATCGGAATTATAAATCGTTAAACGATATTGGTACTTTGGTACAAAACAGCAAGAATAAGCCTGTGAATATACTAGTTAAACGTGGCTCTAATACAGTACCTTTGACTTTGGTTCCACGTCGTTGGCATGGCAATGGCCTTCTGGGATGTAATGTAATGTCTATAGAGACAGTTGAGAGATAAATCTTTTAAAAGAACTACAGTAATGCCCACTTAAGTGACCGCGCTCGGGACCGGTCGCGGTCATTTATGTGGGTATAGTTGCTTCTCAGAATTCAACGGAGATAAGAAAAGAGGATAAGTTCGAGTGAGATACAATAGCTGGTACCCGAAACTATATATACATATATATACTATGTATCGATAATGACTGGCGTTAAGTTACGTTCGACACGCTCGATGTTCGAAGCCGCTTGGCTTCTAAGAAATGGTGGAGAATAACCGTGGACATTTAAGTGGGCACTACTGTACTTGTTTATAAATACAGATTATTTTTGTGTATGTAAGGAATAAAGAAATATTTATAAATTATTGTATTCAATATGGTTCTTTTAATTATATTTGTACTTTCCGTATTAAATTTTTTCCAATAAGTTTTAAGTAGCTTTAATGGGCATAATCCTGAGATGTGACACTCAAGCCTTGAAATAGAATCTGCTTAATCTAATGTAAGTTTATATCCGTGTATTTAAAATGGTTGAGATAGTATAAAATCGCACAACTTCCACGAAGAGGCAATCACTTTTAGTATACCAGCAGCAAGATGCACTTTTCATTGATTGTAAGTTAAAGCTTGCATATATATTATTTTGTTATAGAAATTTGTGGTAATTATGTAGTTTAGTAGTTTTTATTACTAAAACGAAAAATCAAACGGAAGAGCCCGCAAAAATATATTTTTCGATATTTTTTTAAAAGTGAGTTTTCTTTGTAAGATTATATTTCTTAAGACTTAAAAAAAGAATTAGACCAAAATCAAAATACTTAACTCTGCTTATAAATTACTGACTTGAATTTTTCAAGTTATTCTGCTTATTTTATTTAAATGCTGTTTTGGCTAAAGAGTACATTACTTTTTTTAGATCTCCCACTTGATTTCTCGTTTTAGTGATAAAATAAAAAATTACAAAAAACGTAGACTGAAGTACACAAAACTGAAAAAGGCAACTAAACTATATAATTACCAAATTTGTTTGATATAGGTAATATTGTGTGCCAGTATTTTTGCATGTCAAGTACTGAGCGAAAATAATACTTATGAATATTCTGACCAACATCCATGGCCAGTTGTTTATGGGGTGTATCCATATTATAATACCGAAACATTGCTTAAAGTATGGAACACTGACAAAGCTTTAGATGTTTCTACAAATATAGTAACTCTGGTTTCTGATGAACAAGTGCAAAAAATATATTCCGATGACATTCAGCACAATGATACACATTTACTGATACAAAACAATGTTCCTTATTTTATAAGTGAAGTTAAAAACATAAACGAAGAGCAGTTATCACCCAATAAACAATATCAAGCTAACTATGTGAGTACTAATAAAGCTTATTGTTTATTACAGTGATTGTAAAATACAAACTTTAATGTTCCAGGCAAACAGTCCTAAAGAAGCAAAATCCTCGAAGTGTGTAACAGAATCTTGTTTGAATTGAACAATACAAAGGAATAATTCATTTCGAAAAGTGAAACCAGAATTCAAAGTTCTAAGATGTGTTTGCGCAAAATATTAATAAAAGAATTTATTTGCAAATAATATACTTCGTTTTATTTCTAATTCAGTATTTTATAGTTACCTTTAACTATTGGCGGTCTGTGGGCCACAGTTGGGTCTTACCCACGCCCCCCTCATTCGATTTCCGGAAGTCGCGAGCCACGGTGTAACGAATCCCTTCCTCATTTTCGTCACACTTATATTTCGTACGCGCATCTTGTATCGTTTGCATTCTTAATAATGAAATAATCGACTAGCTAAAGGGAAAGTCGTGTGGCCTATGGCGAAGAAATTCGTTGAGCCTGTGCTAGAGTAGGGATGTAAGTATTCGTTAGCATTTTTCTTGGGGATGAATAATGAATGCCGCATACCCCTATTAAATATGGCGAGAGTTACGATTCGAAAGATGAAAACGCAAATAATTTATAGAAGTATAGAAAGAAATTGAATACAATTGAATTTCCCTCCGCATTCCTTATTCACCCAATCTTATTTGATATCTGGGTCGGTTCGCTTATGGTGCTGCAGAGAGAGCTATTAAAACTTAAAAATAAGAGATGTATTAATAGGTATAGCTATTACTAGGTACTTCTAGAACATTACATGTGTGCATGTAACCACAGTTGCACCGATGTAGGTAACACTAATTGGTATAGTATAGGGGTTCTATATTTCGTTTTTAATGTAACGTGCAACATATTTTCCATTTTAACCATTAAATGAAACTTTGCATTGTTTCATTGAATATCACATAATCAGACTGTGACACTGAAAATTATATAATTAAGTTTTTTTATACAAGTATACATGAAATGTTAAATAATTAGTAACTTTGAATATGGTAACATTTTAGACCAAGTATTATCATGGCCGGTACTTATAGAAATTACATGAGATTATTAGAATCTTGGCCATTGGATAAATTAAAACCTGGCAGGTAATTTCATTTAATATTGTAAGGTTACTAGTTTTTTTATGCGTTTTTAATATCGCTGATATAAACAATATTATTATTTTCATGTAGTTATTAATTCTTTTGCAGAAACTGTATGATTAGGTTAGAATAAATATTTGTTAAAGTTTGAATTTACGTAATAGACACATTTTGTATATGCATGCATTTTATAATAGTTTTTAAACTAGAGATTCGTAAACTTTTTTTAAAAGTGTTAAGTCATATAAATTTTAAGTTTTGTGAGGTGGATCTGAACCATAGCCATAGTTTGTTAGTTTGTTTTCCTTGTTATATTATGAATTATAATGACATTTTATATTTATTTTAGAGACTTGAGTCAACATATTCGCGATCAAGTAAAGCTTGCATTTACAAAAGGTGAGACAAGTCAGTTAGATAAAGAGGTATGTGATCGTTATTATATGTCATTAAAAAGAATTACTTCCAATTATTATGGGCAAATGTACACTCGTACTCATACAAGCAGTGCTAGCGGGTTATCAAAAGAACAATGTAATTTGGCACTTTCGCCAGAAATGTTAGAATATTTTAATGATTTGGATAAAGGAATTCTTGTACGTACATATGCAAGATTAATGAGATATTACAAGGAGGACAAGAAAGATGCAAGCAATGTTAGCGCATAAAATTTATTTTATTTATTGTAGTAGAAGTGTATGCTATTTACTACAAAGACAAAGTAATATTAAGTACAGAAAACATGTAGTAAAGTATAGTCAGGTAGCAACTAGAAACATTCAAAATATACCACACGTACCAGTTATGGCCAAAGAAGTAGTTCAATATTTAGAGCCGTCACCAGGAAAAGTTTTTGTGGACATGACATTTGGTGCCGGTGGACATTCTACCAAAATTTTGGAATCTTCTTCTAATGTGAAAATATTTGCATTGGATAGAGACCCTGTCGCGTATGAGTTTTCACAAGAATTGTCAAAAAAGTATCCTGGACAAGTAATTCCATTGTTAGGTAGATTTTCTGAATTACCACAATTGTTGTGCGAACATAAAGTAGAAAGGAATAGTGTCGATGGATTTTTATTTGATTTTGGATGTTCATCAATGCAATATGAAATTGCCCAAAGAGGATTTTCTGTATCAAAGAATGGACCGTTGGATATGCGAATGGATGGATTTAGATGTCCAGAAGAACCGACCGTGGCTGATGTTTTAGAAAAAATATCTGAAATAGATTTAATTCATATCTTGAGAATTTATGGTGAAGAGAAGCAATGTAAAAAGATTGCACGTGCTATTATCGATGCTCGATTCTCTTTTAGAAGTTTAAAAACTACCGAAGAATTAGCTAAACTTGTTGAGTCTGTGGTTCATGGCAGAAGAACTGATAAACTTGGTAGAGTAACTCATTCCGCTACAAAAACATTTCAAGCACTCAGAATTTTTGTAAATAATGAATTAAATGAAATTAATTATGGTATTATTCTTGCTGGATCATATTTGAAAATGAATGGACGTTTAGTAACAATATCCTTCCATTCGTTAGAAGATACAATAGTCAAACGGCATATTTCTGGAAATTTAACAGAGAATGTAGCTAATAAATTGCCATTAAAGTATGCTAGTTATGGTAAATTTTATAATGAAATTGAAATGCAAAACTCTATAAAAATAATATGGAAAATGTTGCATAAACATGTAATAACGCCCATGCCTGAAGAGGTAGAAAAAAATCCAAAATCACGTTCTGCAAAGTTGCGGGCTATTGGCAAAATACCTTCAGATTGCGTTTCTTCGTAAAATGGGAAATGTAAAAATATTTTTTATTACTATATCGTTTAATACAGATCGGAGTTTATCATATTTAGAAACGTATATCTTAATGTAAGCATTCTGTAATATGTGTATAAAATAAAACCTTTCAAACAGAATCATTGTAACAATTATTGATAGATACATAAAGATATATCATTACGAATCATAGGAATGTTTGTAATGTTGAAAGTATAACACTTAAAATAGGCCTTCTATTTCATCTGTTTCACTGTTCCAATCCATATCATAAATGCTTGGCCTTGTAGAAAGACCTGGCATCATCATTATCTAAAAAAAATAGATTATTACAGTAGTTGGGTATTATATCTATGTAATTAATAATTGTTGTACATTTAAATACATACATCTCCGACCATAGGTACTATAAAGCCTGCTCCAACAGATGCAAATATATTTGTAATATCAAGCGAGAAACCTGTAGGCGCACCTTTAACCGATGGATCACCTGTTAAAGAATTTGATGTTTTTGCCATGCAAAGGGGGAATTTATCGTATCCCAATTTATTATACAGTTTAATTTTATCTTGCACCTATATTAATAAATGTTACATTTATTAACAAAGAAATATTTATAGAAGTGAAAGATTTTTACAAAATTATTTTATATTTTTACCTTGTCTGCAAGAGCAACTTGCCCAGCTCCATACATTTCTTTAGCAATAGTATTTATTTTTTCTTCAATACTGTCGTGAACATCATACAATACTTTGAAATTACTGGGTTTATCGGTGGCAGCTATAATTGCATCTGCAAGGTCTGTGGCGCCAGCACCACCTTCTGCCCAATGTTGGCATACAACTGCATCTGTTGCACCACTTGCAATTGCTCCTTGCTTTACTAATGCCAATTCTGCTTGCGTGTCAGTACTGAAATATAATTCCATACAATTATAATAGGTTGCTCAGTAAACAGTTATTTACAAAGAAATTTAATTTTCGCAAAACTTACGCGTGTACATTAATAGCGACAATAACTGGTACACCAAATTTAACTCCGTTACTTATGTGCTTCTGGAGATTCGGAAGACCTTTTCTAACCAATTCAAGATTCTCTTCGAGATATTCTTTTTTTAAGACCGCGCCAGGGGTTACTGGAGGTCCACCGCCGTGCATTTTTAGCGCTCTAACAGTTGCAACGAGCACGACAGCGTTTGGTACATGACCGGATGTTCGACATTTAATATTAAAGAACTTCTCCATACCGATGTCAGATCCGAATCCAGCCTCGGTTACTACAATACCTTCTGGCCCGACTAATTTTAGCGCAATAGCATCTGCTATAATCGAGGAACAACCGTGCGCAATGTTTGCAAACGGTCCGGTATGAACCATTACTGGCGTTCCCTCCAAAGATTGCATAAGCGTTGGCTCAATGGCGTCTTTCAATAAAATTGCCAATGCCCCGGTCATACCCTAAATTCAATTTTATGTAAAATAATTGTGTGAAACTTTTACCATTCATTGATTTATATTCTAATTATACTAACAAAATCTTCAGCAGTTAAAGGTTCTCCATTTTTGTTAAAAGCTACCACCATGTTACCCAATCTTTCCTTCATGTCCTCGACGTCAGTGGCGAGTGCGAGTATTGCCATTATTTCAGAACTCACAGTATTGCAAAAAGATGTCTCTCGCGTTTTACCCTTTTCGGTCGGGCTTTGCCCGATAGTGATTTTACGCAAAAATCGATCGTTCGTGTCAACCACTGAAAGAAGCATATTTGTGAAATATATTTTCCTTTAATAGATTGTTACATAAACACGCCTTACAATACCTCGGGTCCAAGTAATGTTTTCTGGATCAATGTCCAGTCTTGCAAATTTTCCAATTTCTTCTTCCGTCAAAGTCTTTGGATCGGTTTTTGTAATACCAAGTTTCTCTAAACGTTTTAATTGTATTTTCGAAAATTTCCTGACACCTTTGACTGCCGGTACAAGACGATCGTAAAGAGCCTTATCGTTTTGAGTACATTCGTGGAAATATCGGGTATCAATTTGTGCTGCTAATAAATTATTGGCCGCGGTCACAGCGTGGATGTCGCCAGTTAAGTGCAAATTGAATTCTTCCATAGGAATAACCTGCAGGTAGTAGATTTATTTTAAGCGTATTGAGTGTAATGAAGGATTACTCGTTTCAATAAATGGTACCTGCGAATATCCTCCACCTGCAGCTCCCCCTTTAACGCCAAAGGTGGGTCCCTGACTGGGCTGCCTTAAAGTAACAAACGTGTTCTTTCCCTTATGCGCGGTTAGAGCTTGCACCAAACCAAGCGACGTGGTACTTTTGCCTTCTCCTAAAGGCGTTGGGGTCATACCAGCAACTACTACGAGCTTTCCATTTCGTTGATGCTTCAATCTCTTCAGGACGTTTAAACTGACCTTTGCTTTCTTGCTACCGTAAGGGCTGATTTCGTTCGGGTACAATCCTATTTCTTCTGCTAGGGTAGTGATCGGTTTCGGTTCTTGGCTCCTTGAAATTGATATGTCGCTGGGCACGGGCTTTTGCGGATTAATTTTCAGAGTCCTTAATTTCCACTTGTTATTTATCATTTTTTCTAACGTCCTTTGAGCAGAGATTACTGTGTTCTTCATTAGCATAGCTACAGTCATTGGGCCAACGCCGCCAGGTACTGGTGTGATGTATGCAGCTACTTTCGCAACTTCGTCGTAATCCACGTCGCCTACTAAACGTGTTCCGGATTTCTTTGCAGGATCTAAAATATTTCTTCGCAATGTATCATCATTATTGACTTACTCTCCCATACAGCATGGAACATTCCAGAAATATTTTTTTACATGACACGAAATATTTCATGGAACATTTCAGACAATATTGTTGAGACATTATAGAAACGTTGCACGAAGATTTCCAATATATACTAGAAATATACTTCTGTTTATTTGTTAACAATTTATGTCTTATACTGCAGATGTTATATATGTTATTAATATATACTTTGAAGTTATAGTTGTCTTATAATATTGTAATGATGTCTTTAAAATATTTGCAACACAATATTGCAAATGTAACTGCAACATTGTGACATTCCAGCAATATTTCTGTAATCTTCAGAACTGTATGGGTGACGTTAGATCAATGGACAAATTTTATCGTTTTTTTTTCACGCAATGTGGAATTTGTTCGTAATAAATAGAGCACTCGTAGAGCAACAAAGCGGTATTACTAGTATTAATAATATATTCTGAGTGTATTAATTTACAGAATTGAAAACAAAAAGCATGTCTACCTTGTATGGAATTGATTCCACAATCGATTACGATTGCACCAGGTTTAATCCAATTTCCCTTGACCATCCGGGGCTGACCAATGGCAACTACCAAGATGTCGGCTTGCGAAACCTACAATCAAATTAATCCGTAGTATAGAAGGCAGTTACACAATCTTTTAATTGGAATTTCGTTTTTCTAGAAAGTAGAATAAGTTTGGTACTTACAACTTGCGGGAGATTTTTCGTTTTTGAGTGACACACCGTCACAGTTGCGTTATGCCATTTCAATAATTCGGCTACTGGCGTGCCGACAATTTTGCTTCTACCCAATACTACTGCTTGACTGCCAGCGATTGGTACTCCACTCCTAAGCATTATTGTACAAATTACTATCTATTTTTTATAAGTTATTTATTGACCGTTTGAAACGTTCGCTTTAAAAAATAAAAAGGATGTTCGGCCATACGTGGGAAAAATTTTAATGGGAGATTCTAGAGGCCAAAATAAGACGAAAATCAAGAATAGCAATTTGTCGATTGAGGCTTCGTTTGCGCGTGATAGTGGTTCTTATTCAGCGCGTAGCTGTTCGCAGATTGCCGTTCTACAAGCGGAACTTTAAACGTTATTAACTTTCTAACGAAGCCTCAATCAACAAATTGCTATTCTTGATTTTCGTCTTATTTTGGCCTCTAGAATCTCCCATCATAATTTTTCCCAGGGGTTGCTGAACACCCTGTATAACCAATCACACGTACTAACTTTACAGATTTTTCAAATGATGAATTTTTCTCTTTTGTTTTGAATGATAAAAAATAATTTATCTAATCTATTGAAAGAACATTAACAAATTAAAAATATTATTTTCATGAAGTATTTGTCAAAAATTCATTTTAGTTTTCAACCCCCTCGTTAAAGTGATTATACAAATTCATAAAAAAGACAAAATTTAATAGCTTCGCTAACAAGAAAATTAATAAAGATGAGCAAGTTACATTCATCCTGTATATTTATATCGTATGTATTCATGATTAGTTTCAACGTATGTTGAACTTAACGCATTTTTAACGCACTTTTTGATGAGTTCGATGCATCCGTTCGGAGTGCATGGCACGAATCCCGTCATATCGCCAATGGCCACTCTTCCTTCATTGATCGTGTTTAATCTGAAAAGACGAAATTTTTCATATTACGTTTCCACGAATACACAGCGTATTCTGTTATTGATCATTTGCAATAAAAAATTTGCGTTATTATTTCGAAATATTTTAATAATGTTATGCTCACGAAAGTGCAATGACGTTTCCTAATTACGTACAAATAATATGTTGTTATTGAAATTGCATTTACGCAAACGGAAGATGCTTAAGTCGACCATCTCTTATCATTTAATCTGGAAGATTTCGCGTGACGGGTCATGGTATTGCGTTATATTTTGAAATTTCTTAGTATTACATGCGTCGCGAAATATTTTTTGTTCGCGTAAAGTCATATAACAAATTTTCGAACAATACGTCGATTATATTTATTATGAAAGAAAAAAAAATATATATATATTATTATATATTATACTATAAATTATATATTTAATACAAATAAAATTTATTGTATATAAATTGTGCATTAATAATTAAAGAATTGCTTACACAAATGACTTTATCCATCAGTAATATATCCAGTACATAAAAAATATAAGAAATATAGTAAACATACTAATATTATTTTATTATTAATTATTAGTATTACATATCAATCGAAAAGATAGAGTAAAAATGTATCGTGCGGGATTTTGTTTTGCACACTTCCAAATTTTAAATAATTTTAAAATTTGATCATTCATGTTTTGAACATTACAATCGAATTATAAATAACAATCAACGAATAATAATTATTTGTATTGTTTGAGTGGTAATTTTTTTAATGCGAGGAGAGGAGTTTTAATCTTTTTTTTTTCAAATATTTTTAATTAGATTTTTGTAGATATAAAAAATTTTGCTGATAATTTAGCAAAATTTATCCCGACGTAAGCATAACATTACAGTTGTAATAAAAATTAATCACAGAATTGAAAACCTTACCCATCCACGTCTTTGTCGGGCGACACTAAATCAGTAATCAAGTGACTATTGATTTGATTAACAGTGTCCAGAGGCATTTGTACAATAATTCCGTGAACGTTTGGATCGTTGTTCAGTTTATTGACTTTGTTTATTAATTCGATTTCGGTTGTGGTGTTTGGAAGTTTGACATGTTCCACGGCGATTCCAATGTCGCTCGCCGCCTTTATTTTCATTCTTATGTAAACATTTGAATCTTCTCTGCCGCCTACTTGGACGATTGCAAGACCTGGTAGAAAATTCGGCAATTTCTTTTTCAAAGCTTCCACATCTTTCGTTAAGTTTTCTCGGATTTCCCTGAGAGAATCGAATAATACACTTTAGATTGTACACGAATAATTTCAGTGTTCAAATTGTTTAAAAATAATATTATTCTCAAATTTACAAAGTATATTACTATAAAATTACTTTCAAAGAAACGAATTTTAATTTCTTACTAAGCTTTTTTTAACTTCTATTTTTATATAACGTATATTTACATGACCATCTAACGTTGCAGTGATAAATGCCCCTTATTTGTATATAATTGCATCACTTTAAACAAATTTATAAATACGTGCAAATGTATAAAAATGACACGCATGTTTCTAATGTTACGTCTGTATTTTTCAGACGTTTGAAATTGGCGGGCTTTACACGTACCGACATCTTTTTTTTTTACACTTCGGTGATATACGTATACATTAATCGTTTCAATAAACATTAATTTGCCATGATATTATGTACATATATTATATACATTTATTATGTATTCTCGCTTCAACAAATGCTGTTTTATTATTATATAATTTAGAGACTGGTGATAAACATAACCTCATATGGAACGAGGTGCATGCTTTTACAGGACAAGGTAAAAGTGTCAAGAATTCAGACTAATATTTTGTAATTATGTTAGAGGTTATGATAACAAGGTGTGCAGATATTGTAACCTTGGTGATGTATATATATATTATATATGTCATAGACCTTGGTGTCCTATTCTATAATCGAACAACAAATTTGAATTTGGACGACGTTTTAAAAAGTTCTTCGAGTGGAAAATCACTATAGAAAATCGATAAGATCAAACGAAGTGACTTTAAAATAGTGTACCTGTTTTTAGATGTTTAATAAACCTAAGTTGAGGTGCTCGTTTCGCGAGAATTGTTATTTTTACAATTGAAAATCTGTAATATTACTCACTTTGCTAGCTCGGTACCGGATAATACGATTCCCCGTACGTCCGTCGACATAGTTCTTCGAAAAAGTCTACAATCACAAGAGAAATCACTATTATTTTCAAATTGATTTCTGTTATAGTAAACTATAAACACTCGTGTACTGGAAGACTGATGCTAGTCGAATGAACCGCCTTAGTATAGGCAACTGGTTGCAAGCGATTCAGTTCGAACATATATGCATGATTTTTATCAAGCAGCGTTGTTATACGTGTTATTTTCACGTTGAATCTGTGCGATCATTTAAATGCTTGGACACGTCTCTCAAAATGTATTGTAACTTTAAATTTCATTTTCCTTTTGTTTGATTCTACATATTAGTAGCATTTATTTCTTACAAACCTCGTTTCTATGTTTAATAAGTATTCGAGATATCTTATTTACACGATTTTTTTACTACAAAATTAATAGACACTTAAGATATACTCTCTCATACATTATGGGACGTTTATATTACAATTCTTGACGGTTTTTATATTGTTCTGTTTTTATTTTTTATGTGAGTTTAGATACACGACGATAAATAATAAATATTTCAATATTTCAATTTTTATTGCACGTTAGAACTTTGTCTTACTTAAAAACTTGCGTTATTCGAGTCATATGGTAGTTCGAGACGATGATTTCTCAGATACTAATGATAATTGTGATTTACAAGGGACCACGAAAATAAGCTTTGAAAACAACAAGGAGGATGTTCATCGGCTTTTCATATGATGAAACTACAATCGATAAACTTTGACATGTGAATTGCTCGCCATAAATTCCCAAAGCGAACGTACCGTAAGTATACGTTGCATTCAATGCATTCTATTAATAAGAAAATAAATTTTTCCTACGTAAATATGTTTTTCGATTTGTTTAATTAATATGGAGAATACTTCGTTACCAATTTTAAAAATACGAACATTTAAATAAAAATTAGAAAAACAAATAGATAAATACAAATAGAATAATATAATAATTATCATTAAAAGATTATTTTATTTTGATAAATGATCAAGGGAAACAAGTAGTTTTGTACATCTGCTTTTAACGGTGTACAATTGTTATATTTGAGTTAAAATTATTTTATAAATTAACGTTAATATTTTGTCTTTGTATTAGTTGTATAAATTAGACAATTTTATTTAATTATGGTAAATTATTTAATACGTATTTAATTGCAATTGCAATTCCAAATTAAGATTATGTTTTAATAACGTAATAGTTACAAACAATTGTAAACAATTATAATTAACAAAAAGAAGCTTATATTTAAATTATGACTATACAGCAAGGTGTTATTAGTTCAATGATATTTATACACATATTCAATTTTATTTATTCCTGAAATTGTTTTTACGACATTACATGTGTTGTTTATTTACATTATTGTACGTTTTACATGCGATCATCAATTTTGTTAAATTGTCGTGTAGCGAATTACTGTAATACGAACATTTTCCTAGCATAGAAATAGATAATTTTTATTTTATTCCATTTACATTTATAAATTTACTTATTTAATTTTTATTCAAGTATTTATTTTTGTTTAAATTGATAATGAATGACACTCCATATGTATTGTATAAATTGGAAATAGTGAAAAGAGAAATATATTTATATACGAGAAATTTATTTTACAATGGTTATAATAAAAATAAAAAATTGAGTAATCAAACTGATTACATTTTCTACGGTTCAATCGCACAGAAATTTTGTATGTAAATTGTTAATGCACATTTTTGTAATGGATTTGGTGATCATACAGAAAACATAGACTAAATACATAAATGATATTATTTTGTTGCACGTATCTGAAGTAAAGAGTAAATTGTTGACTGCTAGTTGAGAATGTTATTCATCACTTTATTTTGATAAGTTGAGCTATCGAGTCTTATCGTATATGTCGAAATATCGTAATGTATATTTACATAATGTGTTCAAAATAATTAGAACATCCTCGATTCGAATTGTGTAATCAATATTTTGAAAACTATGGAAACTAATGGAAATGAAAAATAATGTTATCTTCATACAAAACAATGATCTTAAGCAGTTACTTATAACGCAAAGATGTGGATTTTGTACAATATACACCATTTTATGTTAAAATTCCTTTATTATCATCAGACGTTAATCCTTGCATTTGTGGGATTATTTGAGAAAAATGAGTACGAAAACATGATATTTCTTCGAAAGAAATTTAAAAATGTGCAGTACAAAACGACATTAAATGTAATGAATCAATTATTACGGACGGAATAAGAATAAATAAAGGAAACGAACATAGTTAAATTGTTCGTAGATTTTTCCAAATATTTTATCTTGTAAAACCTTATCAGTGTTACGTTCTGCATACGCTACTGAGGTAACTGATATACGATCCTGTTCAATTAAGGAAATTTGCGGAGGCTCGAAGTTGTTTATAGCGGGCTTTATGAACAGTTCAAGCTGTAGTATTCTCCAGAACTTCCTGGCGAACATTGCAAAAACAGCTGGCTTCCCTCATTCTGTTCCACGCTTCTCTACTCGCGACTCGATAAACCCATCTAATTTACTGTGGGCCATCCCCAAAACTAAGCAAAAACTAAATATAAGCTCCTTGATGTCGCGGTAATTAATCCTGGTATCAAAGCATTCAAGCGAATAACGAATAAACTGTCTCTGAAGTTAAGAAACTTGTACCAGAGATTGCATAAACTAATGAATTTTATTACGTTCCACTGTTACGTGTGCTTTTATTTCTTTCAAGTTCTCTCTATACTGTTAACGTAAATATAACACTTTATATTATATTCACATGCTTCCTTGACTTGTCTATAAATTATGTAACGACTTTTTCCGTCCGTTTTGGATCGTTATCTGATAAACGTGTTGGTAATGTATGTTTAGCAAGTGATAATCAAATAATTTTAATAATGTTCGAACAAACAAATTTTGCATAAAATCGTACTTTTGATATTTGCAGTTACACAGTAAGGAGCAAAACTGAACACTTTTACGACTACGATGTTTGAACAAAAATAATTTTTTATTCAATATTTGCATGAAGATCACAAAAGAAATAAAATATGTATTATTATGTACCATCTTTTGGCTTTTCAAAACAAATTTAACATTTGTGATGGTTCATTTAGAATTTCATTTACAAAATTTTATTATTACCTGTTATATATACCTTAATGAACTAAATAGTATTAAAACTTTAAAAAACTTAATATAAATATAGCCTAATTAATAAGTTAAAGCCTATTAATTTGTTATACATTTGTTACTCTACGTCAATTTTTTCAAACTTTTCAAAATACCATAAATGCCCACCTACACAGACCTATTTGACTCACTTTTATTTAAAAAACAGTCATACGTACTTTTAAAATATCGAAGCATAATTGTGTCCTACATTAACTTGAAATTACTATAATTTTGAAACTTTAACTTAAATACAGCACGGGTTCCCCTTATCCAATCACTATGAAATTTTCCATACATATATCTTACCTAGTACCACAATTTAGAAGGGTAGCACGAAAAAAAATCAGAAGATAAAAAATGAGGATCAAGGCTCTTTGCCTATCAATACTAATTCAGTGAATAGTTTCTCAACTGACCGCCATTCATGAGAAGAGGATGCTAAAATCACCTCCGAATTTTTCGCTCACGTATGGCAATTGTTCGAACTGACATACAAAAAGACAAAAATTAATGAGATACACTCTTCCAAAGTGGAACAAAATGTTAAAAAGATCATGCATCAAATTGTAAGGGGATCCTCGTAAGAAGGCTTTAATCTTCGTAATGGTTTTAATGGGTCGATGATCAACAATGACTAGCTTATGGTCACTGGTGGTCAACAGTGAGGTTGACATCAAGGTCAGCGGGCCAGTGACGATCCAGAAATGGACAAGAGATGGGACCAATCGAAATAGTTTCTTCGTAGGCAAGACAGTCTTACCTGTTAACTTTAACTTTGGCTCTGACTGGTCTCCCCACCCTTTCATCACCTTAGACATATAAGCAGGGTCACTGCGAAGAATTCTTCAGTCTCGTCGCGAATTCGGGAGTGTACAAATGGCTAGAAGAGTACCGGGGCCCGCTGCTGACCTCTGCCGGCCGCTGCTGACCATAGCTGACCATAGCTGACCATAGCTGACCACTACTGGCCACTACTGGCCACTACTGGCCACTACTGACCACTACTGACCACTACTGACCAGTGCCGGACGGTGATGGCCTGCGGTAAGAACTGTTTAAAAATTCTTTCCCCTCTTCTATTCTATCGTTTGATGCCAATTTTGCTTCAATGAACTGATTTTGCCTTGCTTGTCTAACTGACGTTGCTATAATATGAATATTTTCTTACTTTACAGCTGGCCCAGTGGTAACTACCCTATGTACTGACAACAAGTAGTAAGTCTACTCCACTTATTTATATTTTATTATTTTTATTTGTTTGTTTGATGCGAATTCAACTTTATTTATCTATCTGATTTTATTTGGTTATTATGAATGTTCCTCTTCTCTGTTTCTACTTTTACATTGTTTTTCAAATTTACGTGACTGCTTTGATATGTATAATATTGCAGGATATAATAATGTAATATTATATTCTTGCTCGAATTCTCGTAATATTCTACGGAGGTACTTTGTTTGATTCTTCCATTTCGTTTGATTGTTTGGTGTTGATTCAACTTGGTGTCTCGATCCAAGTTTCTTTCATTACAATTACGAATGTTCGTTTTGATATGTATAACATGCTGTCGATGCATATACCATATTTGTTTCGATGACACTGATTAATATAAGAATATTCCTTTTGATATGTATAACATGGTGTCGATGCATACATCATATTTGTTTCGATGACACTGATGAATATAAGATTTTTATTTTTACGTTTCAGCTTAAATTCTTGTAACATTTTGCTAATATACTCTGTTCAATTCCCTTTAGCTAGGTGATAGATCATTTTTAAGCGTTTATTAAATTCCTTACCATATCTCACTAATATAAATATTAGTTTTGATTTACCTTCACCCCTTTTTAACCCCTTAGCTTACTATGATGTCTCAGAAACGTGATAAGTCTACCGGGCCAAACATGAATAAGACGTCTCAGAGATGTGACAAGTCTACCGCGCCAAACCTTGGTGTCGCTTTTGGCACGCACAGTTCGAAATTAAATCGTAAGGAAAGGGGGTAAAACGACTGGTTGTATACGTGCTTTCTTTGGCAAGTGTAGTCAGTACCTTTTGCTTAAAATTATAATCTTCTTGCACATCGTGATTTTTAAGATGACAAATGTCATAGTAGATTCAATTTATTTTTAATTTGACACTCATTTTAAAATGAATATATAATGAGTACATACAACATATGTGAGTAGTATCACTTTCTCTCGTTCGCTTGTTCTCTGGTTCTCGCTTTCCGAGATTATGTCTCGACTGAAAGGACCCGGAGAGTTTTGCTCGATCACCTCTGTTTGATAGAATGAAACATGTGACACCTGTGTAGTAGGTGTGATAGCTCTAACCGCTTCAACCCCGGTGCAGCTTGGTTCAGCTTAAGTGGGGCCTCACCGAGCGCATATATTCTCCTCTTTATACGGAAAAGAGAATGACCTCCGGTGAGAGTTCTTGACTCATATCCGTTCTCGAGTACTAAGCGGGTCCTGTTGT